ACTTGAAATTCTCTATACGGGGCTCATTATTCCCATAACTAAATTCAACAAAAAAAAAACTTTGCCCAAAAAAGGGAAAAAGTTCAGAAACGAGAGAGTGAAAACTTGATAATGAGTTGGAATAAGTAGAGCTGACAAGGGAAAAATCCCATCTTTCCATTAAAATGTCATGCTCGAATATGCCTAATTTCCAAATTGGCTAAACTTAACTTCCCTATAGAGGCGGCCGATTCGGTATGCTCAATAAATTTTCCTAAAGCTATTAGCATCTGTAATGGCGGCTGCTTAACTCTGATTCAATTGTCTTTCGGATGACTTTTTGAAGTGCATTTCATTAAGGAATGAATTGTTAATGTAGGGGAAAAATATAATGCGATTTTGTCGTCCGGGTATTAGGAGCAGCGGCAGCTTTTGTTTTTAGCAAGAGCTCTAAGAGTTTCCGTTCAAGCAACGTATTTCCTTTTCTAATTAATGAAAACACAATCTGAGACTTTTCCTGTATACAAATAGCTCTTATTCAGAGAACTTATCCCTATGTACTATTATGAAATATAAATTCTAAGGTGTTAAAAAAGTTAAGTATTATAAAACTCGTTTGCAAAGATTTTGTGGAAATCTGAACGAATATTCTCATTAGTGCATTTGTTCAATATTTTAAATTTGTGTTACAGACAGGCAAACAAGTTTCAAATAAAAGTTATATAGATTTAAAAAATACGTATTATAAAAATTTTGAGATATACAGGGTGGCAAATAAAAAATGTACATTTTTTAAATAGAACAAACTGTATATTATTTCCGTTTTAGAATGGTTTGGTAGTACTATATTCAATCCTATTTTTTTTTTTTTAAATAAATTAAAGAATGATGCAGAACACAAATTAAATTCGAGAGACGCTAAAATGGTGGTTCCCACCTTATCGAGACTGAGGCAAACAAGGGTAAACTCGTAGCGTAACAAAAACGAGAAATGATTTAACTTGGAACGAAAGACCGAAAGCCGATAGTAGTATTAGGACGTTTAATTTTTTTGTTTGTGAAGCATTGGCATTACTTAGGTTAAACCATGTGATTATTTTCACAAGCCTTGATTTTTAACGCATTCTATATCGCCTTTTGATTAGGGTTTAAAAACTTGGTCGAGCAATTTATCCAATAATAATTGGCCCCTTTACCTCTTAAGCCCGCTCATCTAAAATATTTGGGCTCCTTACTTCGCCTATTTGTATTCTATTAATAAAGGACAGAAGGATGAGTACTGCAACTATGTTAAAAGAAATAACTTGGCTTTCAATTCAGAATTATGTTCAGTACATGACTGATATTTATAATAAAATAAAAATGACAGTACCATCGCATTTATTATAAATTATTTGTTTTGAGATCATGTACTTTCTCTTCAAAAATTACTTGCTATGTTTAATTTATTAATAGTTTCGCGACGATAGACTATAGCAACTTATAGCCACAAAACTATTTTTATGTTAAAGTAGATCCATAGAGAGCAAAGTAATTTACAGAGGCCTTCTTTCAACATACAAATAAATGACAACTTTATAAGTAAAATGAAAAACACAACAAAATACTTCAGTATCATAATTGATCAAAATTTGAAATGGGTTGATCACATTACGTCATTAAAATCCCAAGGTAAGAAGATTCATTTTTAAATTTTATAAATTGAGCAAATTTATGACTAGGAGTTTACTAATTATTATTTACAATTCGCTGGTTGAATATGTAATCCAAAATCGTATAATTAAAATTATCTATAAAAAAACCAGCATTATATCCTACATCTCTTTAATATAATAAAAAAGTGCTTTGTATAAGAACATTATATTATCTGTCTTGCTGTACCTTTATTTATGGAAAGCTTGAATTAAGATACACTACAAATTATTTGCAATAAATATCAAAAGAAGCATACATTTTTAAATAATTTGACTTTTAAGGGCCATTCGCACATCACAGTTGACATCTTGACACTTGACAGACACAGCCAAGCATTATTTTGATTTTTGCCGAATAAAATGGCCGGTTAATTATTCTATGGGGTTGCGACAGAGAGCCAGTGCATTTGATGAAGGTGTTTTTGTGGCTAGGGGCGAAATAGTAGTACGCTTTTAGCACCACCATAAAAAAGTAATTTTTAAGAAACTGCTTATATATTTTTCATAAATTGGCAGGCTTGGCGACTAATTTCGAATAAAAATAGCCTCCAAAATGGCTATGGTTGTAAGTATGAAGGTCGCAACCCGCCTTATAAATTTCACCTTTACTATCAACAACTGTTATTTGACAGGTCCTTAGAGAATGTTTGCAATTTATGGAATGTTAAAAATGTTAGGAATGTTGACTTTAGAAATAATTGGAATTCCTAAAATTGTCACGAAGGAAATGCATAGGCAGATTTTAAGAAAATTGATATTAAAGTGATAGGATGAACCGAAAATTCTGAAAATCAATACGGTTTTAAGTTACAAGTAATTATTCAAGAAAATCAAAACTGCAAGTCAATCAGAACTTTCATTCTAGAGTTATCGTGCCGGACTCAGAATGATCGGAAACATGAAAAAAAGTTTTAAAAAATGGGAGTAAGAAAATTTTTTCGCCTGCACGAATGCAATACTCAGGCTTCATAGGAAGGGCCTCAGTAATTATCATAATTGAGGTAGGTTTACAATGATTTGAATTTTTTTTAAATACAGACTTAGTGGTGATAGAACTGGTATATTTTATACAGAGTGTTTTAAAACATGTCTTAAATGGTTAATTTTAAGTTCAATTTACTCAATTTTTCAAATGCAACACCCTGTATATTATTTAAGCATAAAATTACTTATACTGTTGGCTAACAACACATATACAGGGTGTCCCATCACTGCGTAATTGATCGATAGCTGTTTTATTATTAGTAATACGAAAAAAATTAATATAAATTATTCTTAAATATACAGGGTGGTCCATAAACAAGGGGATGACCAAACCTATACATTTTTAAAGCAAAACGCCCTGCTGGTAATTAAACATATTTGATAGTTTTCACATCGTCTAAAACAATGTTAATATACTTCATTCATTTGATATGTTGTATATAGGGTGTGTCTAAATAGGAGGTAACGATTTTCTCAAATTTTCAAATGGAATACCCCGTATTAATTAATTGGTGGCATAGCATAAAGGGTATTGCATTTAAAAATGGTATACAGTGTGTTTCATTTAGAAACGAAAATAAGTTAACTGTGAATGGAGGCACCGAAATGTTTCTAAATATACCATATTTAATGGGTCTTTTAGTTTTTATAATCGATATACAGGGTATTTTATAGATTTAGCTCATTTATTTCTAGCACCACAAGTAATGAACCGCCAAGTATATTTTTTTAAATGACACATGTTTTGCATCTACTACTCAAACTAATACGTACGTACTAATACGTTGTTTTATTCTCAAAATAGCACCCTGTATATCAGAAATTTTAAAATCATTTGCATATTCGAATAGAGGAAAAAATACTAATTTTGAAATACAATGGGGTTTATTCTGTAACAATTCCTTTATATTTAAAGGCCTTTAAAATACATTAGAGGACTATCTTAAAGAAATCTGTTTAAATAATGACAGAAGTAAATTAACGAATACAAACATATTTTTAAAGGTCGCCAATATTTTTAAAGGCCGTTAAATATAAAGGAATTATTACAGAATAGACCCCAATATCATTAAATCCGTTTTCTCATTTTCTCAAGTTGGCTGTTTTTTCCCATTATCTCAATGTCTATAAAAAACAAAAACACAAAAAAAACACAAAAACACAAAAACACAAAAACACAAAAACACAAAAACACAAAAACACAAAAACACAAAAACACAAAACAAACACAAAAACACAAAAAAAACATAAAAAACAAAAAACACCTAAAATTGTTCACCTAGTAAATTCATATACGACAAATGAAGATATTAGAATTAGTTGTAAGATGTTACTAGTTTAAAGTTTTGCTACAGAAAAAATGTAAAAAGAACGTCATTTCATTATTGTATTTGTATAAAAAGATGTCGCTTCTAAAAGTAAGGAGGTGTGTTAAAAAACATTATTTTAGAAGCGACTGCCTTTTTAGTAAAATGTGACAACGTTGTGAGTGTATTCTTAGTTTAGTCTTCAATAAGTGCGGCTGCGCGATACAGTGTGTCAAGACGGTCATGTAGGTAGTTGTAAGAAAAGAGAACTTGAATAATGGCGTTAGTCCGGGTCTTCATACATTTTAAGTTTGTTTGTTACATTGTTTAGTAATATTGTTCCACTGTTTTATGAGATTAAAATAATATAAAACAAATGATTTATTAACAAATAGTGTATTAAACTCTTATGCTATTACTGTTTATTTTTATTTTAGAATATTGATAAGTGCTATTACAGGCTGGCGCTGTTTCAAGAAGTCTTATTTTAAAATGAGCTAATTTCTTAAGGCGCTGATGCACTCGGTCGTTTTTTCGTTTGGTAGCTGTTTAAACTAGTGCTAATTCTATATGCATTGCTTAGAATAGGCGTTATTTTGTTGGGAGCTATTTCAATACAAACTATCTTGATTAGGCGCTCAGATAATAATAGAGAGTTGAAGTGAAGCTATGAACGTAAACGTATACGTGAAAACGCAAATAAAATAACCTCTTTTTAATTGGGAAAGAAGAAATCCTAATATTAATTGTCATTATCTGTCAAGACACGTAAATGTCACGATGCGTTTAACAACTTCAACTCATAATTGCTGTTTTGACACACGTTATTTCGTCAAGCACAACGTCTCAATTTATTAAAGTATGGGTAAAAGACTGAAAAACTTTCAAGTAGAAGCAAAGAACTTCAAGAAATTCAGTTTAACTAGACCAGAAAATCAAAACAAATACAATGTTTACCAATTGTTTATTCCGCTACAAATATATCATACATAAATCAATAAAAACATCATAAAACACCTAAATAACAAAAACTAACCTGAAATTTCTTCGTTAATGCACCCACGAAGGCGTCGTCGTAACGGTAGTTGAATATGTAGGTGGAGCACTAGGTTGGGTATTCGTCATAACAGGATGGTGTTCGCACTGCCCCGTTACCGTCGTGGGCGGGATCCCCTGCTGCTGGCTGGGAAAATTGAAGTCCAGGCTACCCTCCATGTTCAGTTCGTGATTGATCAGCTCCTCCACGTTGCAATCGAAGCCGCCCTGCAGCGATTCCACGTTGATGTTGAGGTCGTCCAGGATGGCGCTGTTATTGAGCGCCGCCATCATCTGTCCCATCATCGTCGACGGGATGTTCTGTTGCTGTTGGGCGGGTTGCGGAGTCAGCGGGGGGCTACTCGAAGGGGGCCGTTGCATGCGGTTGATCAGGTATTGAGAGTTTAGGGGATCCGGAGATGGCTCGGAGTGGGGGTACGAAGGAGACATTCCTGCCGGCGACATACTCTGAAATCAAAGATTTGATTACAAACTGTAAGAATTTTCAACAGGTTATTTTTTATTAGCATTTATTAGAAATTGAGGGGAACCCCAAAACTAACACGAGTAAAATCGCGGTAACATTTAATGTTTCACATGTAATTGTTTGGAAACTTGTCATGGAAAATTTCTTATACTCATATCACAGTCAAACAGTCCATTAATTTCTGTGAGTGATTTCTTCAAAACCTGCTGGAAAATCCGTTATTTGTCTATGCGAAGAAGAGTAGATGCTTGCATACGTGGAGAACACTTCCAACAATTACTGTAAATAATTTGGATTCTCTTGTCATTTCGATTTAACATTTTGAATTTATCGTTTTACTAAATGAATGGAAATTTTTAAATTAGAATTTAAAAAATCAGAGGCGTACCGTTTTTTTCTATCTAAACATTCAATATAATGCATATGAGAACGTCACTGGTAGAAGTTGAAAATTAATTTTTGCCCAAAAAAAGTGTTCTTATGTATGGTGAGTGCGTACCACGTTCCAAAACAATATCAAAAGCAGTTTTAATAAAGAAAATTATGATAAAAATTTAATTTTTTTCTTAAAACTGTAACATCCTGTAGCTCAAAAATTAAGAGATTTACGACATATATAGATATTAACTTTTCTTCTTAAAATCACCCAAGGATTCACACCCTTAAGTATAGGCACTAAATTAATAAACACCCTGTATATTTATCAGAAGTAAATATTTTCCTTTATTGCAAATAGCATATTTCTCTTTACTCTTTACAGTTTTCTGCTCATGGTTTGGATAACTTTACTTGGATATAATATTAATTATTGTAATGCGAGCCATTTCGTTATTCAATCATGCTCTAATCCTCCAAGTCCCTCTGTCTTATTTTGCCTTTGAGGCTCAACTTGTCCGATTATCATACATAATTAAACCCCTTAAGACCAAACATATGTGACAACTATGGCGAAGGCGCTTTCGTCTACTATTCCAGAACGAACGGGATTATGTTACTAGTTTTGGCGAGAACATTCTAGACATTCACCAAAATTTTAAATGCGTATATAAATATTGGCGGAAGAACATAGTGCGGTATACAAACAGATGTAAAAATAAATAGTGAACAATTTAAAGACATTCGAAATATATATAAATTAGAATAGTATTGTTTAAAAATAAATAAGTGTTCAAATACATTATTAAGTGGAACTATAAATAAATAGTGGACAAAAATGGCTAAAAAACTGTGTGATTTAAAAGTAGCTTTAGTTACCTCGAGAGTTAGAAGAACTTGAATTGGAGACGACAGGGAAGAAATCAGAGCTGTCAGAACGACTTATAGAAGCACTAGAAAAGAAAAGTTTGGATTCGGAATCGTATCTATTTTCTGATGATTCATCTTCTGCTATAATTTCTTCAATTTGTTCGTTAGAAAGTAAAGTTTCTTCTGACATTTCTTCATTAGAAACTAAAGTTTCTTCCGACATTTCCTCTTTAGAAATCAAAGTTTCTTCAGATGTTTTTTCAGATGTTTCTTCAGATGTTTCTTCAGATGTTTCTTCAGATGTTTCTTCAAATGTTTCTTTAGATGTTTCTTCAGATGTTTCTTCAGATGTTTCTTCAAATGTTTCTTCAGATGTTTCTTCTTTAAAACATAAGACAAGAAATGTTGTCTTCTGATATGTCTTCCGTAAAAAACTAAATCTCTTCTTTAGAAACTAAAGTCTCTTCTGATATCTCTTCGTTAAAAGATTAAATTTCTTGGAAGAAAGGGTGACTACCGTTGAGGAAAAAATATTGTCTTCCGTCGAGAAGAAAATAAAACAGATGGAAAAGAAGATAAAGGAACTGGAACATACAGAACCGGCCAAGGACGGTGAAATAAAACGTCATGAGGTGGATTCGAAGTTGAAATTGGAAGGCCCTATAAACTCTGCTCGTGTTAAAGCCCAAACTTTCGATGGAAAAATGTCATGGACGAACTACCTTAAACAGTTCGAAACAGCTGCGAGAGCAAACGAATGGTCTGAGAGAGAAAAGGCAGTGAATCTGACAATCGCCCTTCGAGTAGACGCTTTGGATATCCTTCAGACTATACACGTGGAAGAGACAGATAATTTTGAGAAACTCAAAAAGAGACTAAATATGCGATATGGCCACGAACATTTGGAGCATTTATACCAATCACAGTAAAAGAATCGCAAACGAAAACGAGACGAGACCCTTCAAGAATATAAAGTAGATATTGCCAGGTTAGTGCGATTGCCCTACTGATCAGCTCCGGAAAACATGATTGAATATTTATCAGTCCAAACATTTGTTAATGGACTCCGTTACAACGAGATGCAGAAAACACTTCATCTAGCCCGTCACAAGACATTGGTCGATTTCTTGTCCGCTGCCCTTGAATATGAGGCAGCTACACAGGCTACTGGTGGATACAGTAAAGTGAGTACCGTAAAAGAGGAAGAAGAGGAAGGTAAACTCGACCAACTGGTAAACATGATGAAGAGTCTTACTGACAGAAAGATGAAGACGAAGACTATCAGGTGCTGGAATTGTGGTGACTAGGAAATTTACGCACTTCATCCAAACGTTCAAGGGTCACAACAAATCAAGAAAACATGCCGCAGGAAAACTAGAGCGGGTCGGCCTAAAGGGGGAAGCTTCGACCCGAAAACGTTCCAAAGACCCTCTCATACTGATAGCATCTTTGAAATGTCGCGATAATAGTGTATACGTAGACGGCGAGGTAAATGGTAAAAAGTATACACTGCTGGTGGATACTAGATCAACTAGGACCATTATGTGACCAATAACCATAAATAACCGCAAGAAAATTTTACCATCAACGTTGCGACTGCGGACTGTCACAGGTCAAAGTGCCAACATCCATGGGAAAACCCAGGTTCAATTAGGAATTGGTACAAAAAACTTCACTCATACTGTTATTGTCGCTGATATCGAAGATGTCATTCTTGGAATAGATGTAATGAACTTATATGGTTTCCAGTTAGACTTTATGAACAGAGTAATCAAAGTTGGTGCTAAAGAGGTATTGCTACATCCATATGGGGACAGTACCGTGCCAGTAGCTGTACAGGAAGACACGGTGATACCTGGTAGAAGCAAAACCATTATAGTAGCACGGTTTCAAGAAACTATGAAAGAAGGAACACATGTCATGATGGAACCTTGGAATCACGATAAAGAGGTTGGACGAAGTATTCTGATCGGAAAGGGGTTGGTCACGACTGCTTAAGAAATTCCAGTCCGTCTCATAAATGTTAATGATCACCCAATTAACATCAAGAAAGATACCAGAATCGGAACTTGTGTACCAGTAACTTCCATAATTCGTTAGACAACAACTTCTGATAATTCCAACGACAAATTTGAGCAAATGATTGCATTTAGTGGTCAATCTTTGAATCAATTAGAGAAAAAGAAAATAAAGGAATTTCTTCGACGATATCGTGACATTTTTGTACCAAAAGAAGGAAAAACAGGAAGACATTCTGTTGTGAAACACAAAATTGATATTGGTGACGTCAAGCCGAGTCGTCAATCAGGTCGAAGATTACCAAAAGCCAAGAGAGAGGAAGCTGAAAGGATTGTTCGGGAAAAGGAAAAAGACAGGGTGATAGAACCTTCTACCAACCCATGGGTCTCTACGGTAGTCCTGGTCCAAAAAACGGATGGAACTACGAGGTTCTCTGTGGACTATCGTCAGTTGAACAATGTTACCAAGAAAGACAGTTATCCTCTTCCTCGAATTGACGATACTTTGGACACATTGGCCTGAAGTAAACTATTTTCTACCTTAGAACTAAAGTCTGGATATTGGCAGATAGAAATGGACTCAGTAGACAAAGAAATGACAGCTTTTACCACCAGATCTGGATTGTGGCAATTCAATGTCATGCCATTTGGACTATGTAATACCCCCGCGACATTTAAAAGACTCATGTCAAATGTATTGAGAGGGTCATCATGGAAAACGTGCCTGGTATACTTAGATGACATTATAGTCTTGGGACAGATATTTGATGAACATCTAAAGATTTCAAGCTGCCTAAATGATGCTAACCCCCAAAATAAAGTCAATTACCTGGATCATATAGTCAGTAAGGATGGCATGGCTGTAGATAAGGAAAAAGTTGCTTCTATCAAAGAATGTCCACAACCAACTGATAGACAGTAAATAAGAAGTTTTCTTGGGCTATGTACGTACTATAGAAGATTCATTAGGAAGTTTTCAGATATTGCTAAGCCATTAACACGACTCACAGGATTTGGAGGATTAGAGCATGACTAAATAGTGAAATGGCTCGCATTACATTATTTATAAAATTGTAAAAATAACGTAATTTTGACGAGATGTCATCATTCATTTTGGCGAGATATAATTACGTAATTTTAACGTCTTCTGCGATCTTAAATCAACATCCTCAAATGACGTATCTAATCTGTGACACACTGAGGTTAATAACACATTATATTTTTTGTCACAAAACTTAACAGGTGCTCAACCAATCATCATAATGACGTAAAGTTCTTTTTATTACTTGTATGGAAATATATAGAACAAACTAACATAGCTCATGAGCTTATTGGCCACATTTGTAGATATTAATTGCATAAAATTATTTTAATTTGAGTTACTTTGCATATGCGAAGGACTCACCTCTACTTTAATTGGTTGCATGCAAGAACACGACTGGATACGATGAATCGGGCACTGTGTTAGTCCATATGGCGATGTGGCATGTAAGGCGTTAAGATCTCGGCAGCCGGGAAATTGTTCGTAGGGCCCCGTGTAAGGTGGAGGTGGTGGCTGTGTTGGTTGCCCATTCATGTACCTATAACAGAATAACCATATTTATTATATATTATTCATTTATGTTGGGAAGAAACGTAAAAAAATATTTAAAACTTTTTACTCATAAAGATTTTGTTGAGTTATTTTATTTTTTATAATTTTCTCATTTGTTTTTAAGTTTGTTTATTTCTAAAGATACAGTTCAATGTTTCTTTTTTTAACCAAATTACACTACGCTACTAAAATGCAAAATTAGGTCCAAATACAGCTTTTTTTTAACTTAAAAAATGTACTTACTTTTATATAGATGTTAGTATTTTGAAAACCTCAATTCTTACCTTATTTATTAATTGAAAATGACACACATTTAGAAGCCTGTTATGAATTAGACAATGACAAATAGCAAAATGATGAATTTTAAATGAAGCTAAACAATTATTGAAAATCTGATATGATTTAGCAATGAAATAAAGGCATAATAATGATAATTCAAAGTGTAAATATAGTTTATTTAACAAACATTTATATTAATGAGAGCCGATTAATTTTTGAGGTTTAGAGATTTTATTATTTAATTATATAAAATTTTAAAAAATAATCCAAAAATAATCCAAAAAACTGTTAAGCAAGTGCCCCTTTAAAACCCCATTAGATCTAAAAATTTGACAACCACTTTTTACAATTCGATTTTTTTTTTTTAGAAAGCCAGGGATGGCTAGCAAAATTTACCCTTACTTTTTGCACAAGGAAAGAATTCATTCTTCTTGAGATTCTGTTTATTACCTATCTTAATATCAAGTATATTAAAAAAATGGTTTAAATATAATAATTTTATGAATTTTGTGATTATCCATATAGTATATCTATAGAATACTGTCACATCTCATTAAGTTGTATAAAGTTATTGATTTTTCTTATCAATATTTTTATTATTAATAATATTAAAGACTGTTTCGAGATATTTCGTTAACACTTACTAATAAAATTATCACTTCATTCTAACCGAACAAGTCTGTGAAGAGTTACTTCTTAAATTTTTTCTTTTTTTTTTTTTTTCTAGATAACCTTTCGTTACCATACTTCACTGGATTTAGCGTATTTAGAAAAACTATAAATTTTATTTAAAATCTTATAACGCCACAGTATGCAGTTAATTAATTAAAAGAACAATATATGCCATCTTAGTTTCACAAAACTTATTAGAAATAACCTTTGTAAGTTTTTTGCTCTAGATTCTAGAGAGACTTCTAGTCATCTATGTTGGTGTTGCAGAATTTTATTTTCTCATTTTAAAATATTCGCGCTTATTTTGTCTCAAAGCTTTTATTTCGAACTTTGACCACACCACCGCTCCATGAACGTAAAACCAGTGAAGCGACCTTGAATCAAAACAAGTAAATTAATTGCTTTTATACACTTCGATGTGCCGTGCGTGTCGCCATACATGCTGATGCAAATAATACCGCTACGACTATGTTACATAATTCCAACCATCATAATCGGGCCCATTCTTAACTGTGCTTATACCATTGCTACTAAAAGTTTGAACCATCCTCCGGCTGAATATACAATATTAAGGTAAGTTAATTTTGAGAAACGTTTCCATTTTTTACTGTTTTACAACCAATCTCTTTGGGCAGTATTTATTCTAATACAGTTGAGGACAAATGATTTTTTAACACAAAGATGTAACAAATACTTAATAGTTTACGTTTTAGAATAATTGGAGGTAAGTCATTACCTTTTATATTTTGAAAAAAGGTCTTACAGAAGCTGGATTGCTTTCTTTTTTAGAAGACGAACCTTTTTCTCAAGGAAATATAGACTGAAAACAAAAAAGAGGAAATGGGGAAAACAGAAAGGCAAGTTGTGGATTAAACAGAACGGGCCAAAGACGGTGAAATAAAGTGTCAAGAGGTGAAGTCAAAACCGAAATTGGAAGAAATTGTAAGCTCTGCTCGAGTTAAAACTTTTGACAGAAAGATGTCATGAACTAATTACCTAAAACAGTTTGAAAAGGCAGTAAATCTAACAATGGACCTTTGAGGAGATGCTTTAGATGTTCTCCAGCTATACCTGTGCAAGAGACGGATAACTCTGAACAACTTTAAATGAGATTAAACATGCCATTTGGTCACGAACACTAGGAGCAGGTATACCGATTACAGATAAAGAATCGCAAACAAAACCAGGACGAGGGCCTCCAAGAATACGAAATTGATATTGACAAAAATATAATATGATTGAATGGCATTTGTTAATGGTCTCCGAGACCATGAAACGCAAAGAATACTCCGTTTAGCCTGTAACAAAACATTGGTCGATGTCTTGTCTGCTGCTCTTGAATTTGAAGCATCTACGCTGGGTTCTGGTGGATACAGTGAAGTAAGAACTGTAAAATCGAAAGAAGATGAAAATAAATTCGTTTAACTATAGAACATAATGAAAAGCTTTATTGATAAGAAGACTATCAGGTGCTGCAATTGCGGTGAAATACGAGATGTACGCAGTTCACGTAAACGCCCTTGGATCACTCCAAATCAAAAAATTGTGCGAGCAGATGTAGAGGAGGGAGAATGTGATGGTATTTGGTAGAAGCAAAACTATTAGAGTAATGTGGCTGCAAAAACACTGTGGAAGAAGGAACGCCTGTCAGGAAGCACATTGAAGGGGTTGGGCGAAGACCACTTATTGGAAAGTGATTGACCACGTCTGCTATATAAGTTGCTGTACGAAGAACAACGGTAGTTAACGACGAGTGGGTCCCTACCAAAATCAGAGAAGAACAAGATTTAACGTTGCCGTTTTAAAGAAAATACGACGACGGAAAAAGGCAAATCGTCGACCTACTAGACAAGAAGTATTAAATATCTCCATTAGTTAGGTCAATTATTTTATCGTGAAAAAGGAATAATAATTAAAGCGTGTACTCGAAAATAGAAGACAGTTGGTCATTCCAAAGACTAGAGTCCATTAGGAAGGCATTCGGTGTTAAGAAAACCATCCGGAGAGTTCGTGAAAAGTTTTATTGGATAAACAGTTTCGATGATGTAAAAGGACTGGTGTAGGAAATGTACTACTACCTGTGCTATAAGTAAGTTATGAAACTCAACGGAAAAGTAAGACTCCCATAAAACAATACAAAATTTGAGAAAATTGCTTTAGATATTGCTGAACCATTCCCTATTACCGAGAAAGGTAATAAATATATGATGTTGGAGGAAGTCTACGCTACTTTAAATCAAGAGTCCTCAACCGTCGCAAACGTGTTGATAAATGAATTTATCAGTCGATTTAGAGTGCCATTGGGGATTTACAGTGACCAATTTTAACAGTTAACTTTTACGAGAAATCTGTGATAGACTAGATATGAAGAAAACCAGAACTACAGCGTTGCACCCACAGTCGGATGGAATGGAAGAGCGAATAAAAAAGACAATTGGCAAATACCTGTCAAAAATGGTTTCCAACTATCAGCGAGATTGGGATCAGTATCTTTCACTCTTCGCAGTGGCCTACAGATTCGCTTGTCAATGAATCAACAAACCAAACACCAGTAAAAGTCCTATTTGGGCATGAGATGAGGCTACCGTGCGACATCGAGTGTGGATGTCAACCAGGAGAAGACATAGCCGAAGATTATGTGATCCAGTTACGAAGAAAAATGGACGATATGGATGAGTTAGTTCGATCGCATCTTCAAATCGCCAGCGAGAGGATAAAGAAACAGTACGATACCCAGCCACATAAGGCTGTTTCAAGGAAGGCGATAAAGTATGGCTCCATAACCCAAACAGACAGAAAGGTTATTCTCCGAAGCTATAAGGTTTTTGGAAGGGTCTGTGCCACATTAAAAAAAATGGTGTCATTTACCGTATAAGCAAGATTCCAAACAGCAAATCGAAAGTAGTGCATAAAAACCGGCTGGTGCCATTTGAGACTGACCATGACGAAGACAAAAAAGTAAACACCAAGAAACACCTGATCTTATATTTGAAGAATTTATGAGTACATATGGAGGTACTGGTAAAGCAAGATATGGTATTACAACCGAGTAGATCAAGATCTGCTCACGCTTCCAAAAGACTATTCGCTAGTCAATAGCGCTTTTGCACCAGCATCAACGACGCACGAGGGCTGGAATCTGTTTTTGAAAATTTGGTCGATTGTTAGAACTTCAAGGTCAATTACCAAAGCCTTAAAACTTTAAGAAGGATCACGTTACCTTTTCAGGATTGCTTCACTTGTCATGGTTTATCAAAAGCATAATTTGGTCTAACGAAGCACTTACTGGAGTCCATTTTATAGAAACTAGCCATGCCAAAGACAGAATGCAATCAGCTGAATTGGAGGATCATTAAAAACATGCTAGAAGTAATCATCCAAGATACCGAGGTTTAAATAATTTTTTACAGCCATACGCTTAGTTTCCAGGATACAGCGAACACCGTACCTTGTTTCTTTCATTCAAATAGAAATTATAAAGGAGGGTCCAGTTGCAGATACAACACAATCATTCCGTTTAAGTTTCGTAAAAGTTCCAGGAGGAACTATCTCTTAAGGAGGGCACAATGTCCTGCGAGCCATTTTCAACCAGTCCGGCACTGATCTGTGTTTACGTTATCGACATTCAGCCGCCCGCCTGTAGTCTGCTGCCACTGAGCGATTGAGACAAATATACGTAGAAGAAGAGTTTTGAAAACGTCTAGAGAATTCGGGACAGGTCCTGTACGCCTAATTTTCGTATAAATAGCGCGACTTTGTCGATAAAAGTCAAGTTGAAATTAAATATTCGAGTAGTAAAGATTAATATTGTTAATATTAATGGTTCGTGAACTGCTTGATTCGCATATACATACGCACATGTATAGTATATAATTTTTATTTATAGTTGTGTCCATTTTAAGCATCTATACTCGCATCAATAACTTTGTTTGCGGAAAGAATCCTGAACCGAATTATAACTAACAGTAACGATCATTCGCGGAACAAAAAAAAAACTGAATTATTGGTTCTATCCTGTATTCGTGGTAAAATTAT